TAGGGTTCCTCATCGCCCACCCTGTCATCGTCACCTCCCTCAGAGCTTCAGTGGGATCCAGTCAGTCCCCAGGCCCATGCAGCTTTGTGGCAAACAACTACCTACTGTTGTACAACACTGTCTACCTGACCCTCGAGGCAGGGTCTCACTATGTAGCCCTGGCTGGCCTGACACTTGCTATGTACATCATGCTGCCCGTTAAATCTAGGACAACTCTCCGGTCACAGCCTCCCAGATGCTGGGATAACGGGCTCCAGGCAGACCCCTGGCTGAGGGCTTCCACCTCTGGCTTGGATGAAGCTGTTTCTGTCTACAATCCCGGGACATCCACCCACACACCCCAGCTTGTTTCCCAGTGCCCAGATCCCATGCTAAAAGTTGAGACGTGATCATAACACTCCCTACTTAAATAAATGACCTTTGCCTGCTGTTATCAGGAAAATCAAAGGCCACCTCCAGGGACTTTCTCAACCTCTCCAACCGTCTACTAAATTCTCCGCTAACCCAGAACCAACATATAGCGCGTTTTTCCATCTCCACACCACACCCCCAATCAATAAATGCCTTGTTCATGCCTCTGATCATCTATCCACTGTGTTCAGCAAATGTTATTGAACACCTCTCGATTCTCCTATCTCTACTTTCAAATGCCAGATTACAGGGCAGGGTGGGGGGAGGTTGTCACACCACTGCTTTACATTAAATTTAGTCTCCACTTTTATAATCCCAGCACCCTGGAGGCAGAGGCAGGCGGATCTCTGAGTTCAAGGCCAGCCTGGGTTACAGAGCAAGTTCCAGGACAGCCAGAGCTGTTACACAGGTAGCCTGTCTCGAAAGGAAAAGTTCAATCCCAGCATTTGGGAGGCTAACACAAGATATATTCTGAGGCCAGCCTGGGCTACACAGTGAATTTCAGGTGGAGGCTGACTACTAAGTGTCTTGATCTCTTACCAGGTTTTAACCCGGGTAGATTCAGCAAGCTGGTTTTTAGTATGTAAGTTTGACTTCACACTTATATCAAAGTAACATACACAAGCATAAGCAAACAATCCTAAGAACTGTAGACACTAGGCTCATAGCAAGGAGTACCTCTCCTGCAGCAGCAGCATGTTTGGGCTGGGCTCCGGACTTGTGTTCCTCTGAATTCAGGCGGTCCAGTCTCCTGAGGGC